CATCATCAGTGTATTAAACGCATTATAATTCCAGAATATTATTACCATAATATTCCGCAATGATCTTTTATATAAACGTTCGAATATCAGAAAAATTAAGAGTCAACTTTCAAGGTGCTATAGATAAAGAGTTAAGGTATGCATTGTATTATTATTTTTTCTTCTCAAATAATGATTTTCGCTCCTATCTGGTGACGTAAAACAAAAGAAAACTCGTCTACAATGGACGGAGACACATCTGGTCGAGCGATATAATTGTGTAGTCGGTATGTTAGGCTTGGTTAGTAGCCGTGACATCCGCTCTTTTATATCATGGGAATTATTCTCCAGAGTTTGTTGATATGAATCGTGATGAGACGGATGGAAACGTCTGCGAACTACATGCATACCTCTGACTTCCTGTATAGGTGAAGTATTAAAGATGATGGTGAATGGTGGTCAGGAAATCACACTGTAAAAAAGCAGGCAAAAAAAAAAAAAGCCAAATAGGAAAAAGAAATAAAGAAGAAGACAAAAGAAGAAGAATATAAGACGTCTAGAAATTTTTCTGAATGGTTGATTTGGTGGTGAATATAGAAGTGATTAAGAATTGTGAGCTTTTAGGAGCATCCAAATTATATCAAGTTGACTAAATATTGCTGAAGGTTAGAACCAGTGAAAAGCGCATATGGGTATATGAGGCTGCACACATTTGGTTCAAAATGTAACTTCTTGGTCGTACTATCTGAGATACTTATTAGAGAGTATGATAATGACTCTTTCATTTTACTTAAACCTCCAGTTGAAAAAAAGAAGAAAATGGTTGTGAGTTTATGATAACAATTTGCAACCATGCACGTTTAAACACAGTGTGCGAGCATCTAATCTCGAATTATTTCAACGAAACCTTTCCTTCAGTTCCACTCCGGTACCATTGTATTTGCACCGGTCACACAGAGTCCACACGATGATGTAGCTATAATTCTTAATTAATTAGATTGATAAGATCTGCCCTAAACCCTAGACCCTGGATAAATGACTACGATTTAAGTGATACGAGGAGAGGTCTGGCGCTTTTAGGATAATATCCACCCCGTCCAGTCGGCGAGTCATCAAGCCATAATGATGGATACGTGCCCTAAGTAGCCGCCATCCATTGCTTGCAGATGCTAGCTGATGATAGGGGTTATGTACACCATGGATTGTGTTTCAAATAATTATACAATTTCATTTGGTCAGGGCTATACCAATATTTAAAACAAACGTTGAAAAGATGCATGAGTCTTATGGGACCTTGGTACTGTATTTAGGTGATTGTGGGCCTAGATATTAATCAAGTACGGTTTGTCTTTAACTAACTATCTTTAAGTTCAATAACCTCCTTTGAATCTCGCTCCTCCTCCCTAAATACAGGAGAGGGTAAGATGAGAAAAATTATTCAAATTACCCCTCTTAATCATTTCCCAATATATACCCCTAGATGAAGAAATAAACCATGCACAGAGTATAAATGGCATATTGTCTGTCATTTCAAATTATCATGTTTCTTAACAAGCGTATTCCTCGCAAAAATAAATCCTGATGCTTTATGTCGACGTGTAATTGCCTACGGAGCCAGTGAGGTGCCCCGTCGTGCAATCGAGTCCCTCCAACTGACTGGGCAGTGTAACCACAGGCCATCTCGCTTGGTCCTTCGCTCACTGCGGGAGCGCCAAGTCAAGATTGAAACAGGATCAACGCTTTTTCTTCTTTCTTCGTCTTTCTTATCTCTGCTGATGAAAAGGCATTTTGACTCTGGACTTGGAAACAGAAACTTTCCTCGACAGAAACTTTCCTCGAAAACTACCGTGCTAAAGTGGAAATGGAAACAAGGAATGAGACGAGGAGATCATAATATATTCGTATCATTTAAATACATTTTTAAGTATGCTCTTCAGCTATAATTGCTTAAAAACAGAAACTGAAACATTTTAAAATGGTAGTAGAGTAGAAGTAGTTGTCATTTCATACTCCCATTAAAGTCGTAGTGAAGTCTTGGGCGTGGTCATAATAGTAGTAGCAGTTGCAGTAGGAATGGTGGTGATGTTGGTGGTGGTGGTGGTGGTAGTGTAGTGGTATAGATTATATTGTTGAAGTAGCACTAGTAATATAACTCATGGTAATAGTGGGCCTCCGGACCTACAATCCCAGAGGATATAACACAGGATATTCAAATCCTAGTATACTTGTTAAAATGGCAGGTTTACTTAGACAGAGATGAATGATAACAACACAGTGTGAGTGGCGCAAACATGCTGATGTTGATGTTTATATTTTTCTGGATTAAAATCCCCCTCTTCAACATTTTACGGTCCATGGCGTCAACGAATCTCGGGAGAAGACAGGAGGAGGAGAGACAAGTCGTTGCCCTGCACCGATCGGCACGCATCTCATACCCACTATGAGATGGAGAGACAGCTGCTTGGTGACGATACATTGGAGTACCAAATGGATATAAACATGTGTATATTATGACAATTATGATTATCCTTTCGTTCCGTTTAGCTTATACCGGTTTTAATATTTCAAATACTTAATGATTGCGTAATTTCCTAAATGATCACAATAATCCCAAGCGATATTTACATGAAAATGTTACTCATGACGACAGACGTATTTTAGTTTGAGAACACATTCGATAAACGTTTAGTACCACATTCTGATTACTATTTATCATACAGTATAAGTCAATAAATATTACTTCGACATTTGACCCTTAAATTCTCAAAAACTATTGAAAATTACTTAACATAATTTGCTGATATAATAGCTTATACTATCCCCTTTGATATTTGAAGTAAAATATCCAAATATGGAAAGAGAATAGACGGAGGATTGACCTTTCCCTAAACGTGTCAGATTTCCCTCTTTCACGTTTTGGTTGAATGATAAATGTAATTTAAAACAAAGTGTAACGCGACTGATAGAGGAAGCGAGTTACAACACTAAAATGTAGATATTCTTTAAACTTTTCTGGATGAAATATTTTTTGAAGGCTATATTCATGTGCAGTGTGAGTTGGTCAAGTGGTCAGCTCTCTGTCTTCACCAACAAACTGACTCTGACATTCCCAGGATAGAAACCAAATCGCCTTGTTCGGATGGTCAATGTACGTTAAAGGTCGTTCCCCCCCCCCCCCGACGTTAATAATCGGATCAGGTTTGTAAAAATTAAGTTGAAAATATTTCGTGTGAGAGGTCAACGTCTCACATTAATGCTTGCCTATAATGTGACGTGACCGACGTCATCATTCGCCATGCTTCAGAAGCCAGGGTATATGAAGGTAAATGATATCCATGATACAGGTATCAATTCTTACCTGATTTATATGGGTTAAACTGGACTGAGTGCATGGTTCATTAAAGCCCCCATCAAGGATTTGCAAGCCCTCAAAACCTTATCTAGAAATGTTTCTGTAACAGCAAGATGATTTTATGAAAGTATGTGCGCAATATCAACAACAACAAAACTTAGTGGCCCGAATTCACAAAGGAGGTTTGTCGACAAACTTCCTTTTGTTTCGACAAACCTCCTTTTGTTTTTTTACAAACCAAGGTTTGTAAAAACGCGTCGAAACGCGTCGTATGACGTACATAAACCTCGGTTTGTCGACAAACCTCCTTTGTGAATTCGGGCCAATGGGTTTCTGTCTATGTGTGGAAATTGAAGCCCTCCTTTTGTACACAACAAATGGGGTGAATGAAATACTGCCAGTTGCGAATTTTAAATTCGAAAAGAAATGAAATGAAATGAAATGAATATTTCGCTACATACTTTTAAGAAAGTTTTTAATTACATTGTATAATATTCATCAACATTTTGGCCCTTGTACAAGTTTTAAAATTATCACTGTATAAAACCCTGCAACACCAATGTTTGGTATGTTAGTCTTATGATGTCACTGCAATTTTTTTGTTCTTCTACTGGTGGAGTTTACGAGAAATTTTTCAGGAGCCTCAATTACATCATTGAAAATGTGAGGTCTAAATACGAATGCTTGCTCCTTCAATATTGCAAGGTTTATACGGGTAAGTGGGAAAGAAACGACAGCCCCCCCCCCCTACATCCTACCGATGTCATTATATGCGCGCATACTTACGAAAGATTGTCAAAGAGAACTTGTTTACACAAATATGCAATTCCATCTCCTCAAAACACATTATTTCTAATATATTGTCATTTAACCAAATTAAATATGTTTGTATTTCACGCAAAGACCACTTCTGTATTGGTAAAACCCGATCCAATGGCATACAATAGCTTAGTAATGCCAATTTAATGTTGAGATTATGACGAGTATCATGGAATATATCTGGCAATGCATGGATAGTCATACTTGAAGAGATTTGTTTGTTCATGTGATTTGATGACGAGTTTGGCTTCATTCCGGCTTTGTTATCAATATGACTTTGTAAGCAAATTGTATCACAAAGTGGCGCCAGTACAGGGTTTATTCTTTGACTCGTTTTTTTATTAAGCAGATGGGTTATCTGTCAAACTTTAGTCCTCCTGACGTTTCGCTTTAGAAATTCATACCATTTCCATCACTCAATGGCATCATAAATAAGGCCTGAATAACAGTTTACAACATGCATTTCCTTTGTAGGAAAAGAAATCAAACGATTTTATCAATGGGATTATATTTTCTGCGTCTTGTTTCAGTTGGAAGTTTTTATTTTCCCCTTTTCCAAGTTGAATTTTAATTGGCAGTCAATATTTGCCAGCGTCGCATCTCGAGGGTTGTACTATGATAAGCGTAGCTGCTAAGGGAGATGTATGGTGCCCGGCTATCAGCCCAGGCTAGTCGGCTACATGCTAACTCGTGGAATAATAATGCTTCACAGGCGCCGCAATACAAATACATAGCAGCCGCGAGACCAGTTCAAATCCTTTATGCACTTCACACAAGCGACCATGTGTGTCGCGTTACCGTCTATTGCCTTGGCAAAGAGCTATTTATGTGGCAAGTTTTATGAATCATTATTAATATCGGAGCAGGCGGAGCGATAGGGGGCTCCCTTGCTCCCTCTGTTTTTGAAGCGATTTCAAAATGTTGGGTAAGTGAACTGGGAAGGGACGCTGATTGGTCGATAACTTATCCCGAGAGCGGACTTGATACGCCCGGGACCTGCCACTCAGTCGCCATGCACTCATATGATAGGACGTCAGACAGACTACCAACCCTGGTATCATCCCTTCTCGTTACTATGACAACCGACTCCACGGCGACTGTTGTTGCACTTGGCACCGAAACTCACTCCGCTACTAATTATATCACAGAAAATAGCTACCAGTCATGGAATTCCAAAAATATCGGGTGGCTGGGAGCAAGAAAGACGGCGCGTGCAGTTGGCCTCCGTAACGGAACGGAGGCGCGCAAGTCATTATTATGCTAGCAAGTCGTAACCAATCACACTTGGGACACCACACGCATTCCAACAAAACTTTTTTGGGGTAGAGAGCGCCTTTTTTCCGCGTGTGTCATCTTCTACAATAGCTACAGTGTCCGATTGTAAAGTGGTGGGTAAACAGTGATTATGAAGAGCCAGCGAACCATGAGCTACTATCCGTATCATCCTCTTGGCTAAATCTGATTGGAATCACATCATATCCACCAGATAGTCGGGAGAGGATCAGCATGACCCCGATTAGAAGCATTTTGCTAACACCACTTCATCCATTCATCACACGCGATTTGTAAAAGAAATTCATATCTGTATTTGATCGAATGATTCGATATTACCAGATGAACTGGACACGCCTTTGAACGAGGCACCACCACTACTACCACCACACCCCTCACGACTCCACCCCAGACCAGCTCGGTTACCCCCAGTTAAAAGAAGACTCTGTGGAAACTCGTCGTTCTTGGGAGGGGCATCAGCTTTCATTTTCATGAAGAAAAGAGGCCGAACTTCTTCAACGTTTTGTTCGTGACTCTTAACGTTGTAATCGATACTTTGGATGAAGGGAGAAAGTTCTTTGATGAAACCTTCCAAAATGGGGAGACGGAGATAACATTTAAAGAATCCTGAGAAACTGTTTTAGAAGCCAGGAATCAACTAATCTCCAGTTTCTTATTTAAATCGGACTCGTAGAATTTGAGCCGAAACGTGGAACATATTTACGGATACCATATCCAACTGGGATTTCCTAAAAGGAATTTTATCATTTCGTTCTCCAAGAATCTAAAAAGTGAGTGGTTCATTTCTTATTCACAGACATTTCGTTAACGTTTTTATCAACTCATCATTTCTAAGTTAGATTTTTTTCTTAACACATTTCTTTCGTACATGTACATGCTTATATTAAATTAAGATTTATGAAATACTTATATACTTGACAGACGTAGGAAGCTAAATAGTTTTGTTTAAATAATTATTTGAAGTTAACAAAAGCTATAGGTATTCTATTTATCTTAACTTTTAAAATATTGTTAATGTCTCTACACCAAAGAGAGCTTAAAGGAATCAAAAGGTATAATACGAACGAATGACCCGTTTTTAGTGATCTTGAGGGGGGAAATATATAAACTTTCTGACATGGTTCAGAATGCAGCCTTCGCTCTACTTTTTGATCTTCCCAAAATAGTAAAGGAGGATGATATATGATGAAAGAGGCGCCCGACAAGGATGTTCAATTGCTTTGAATAACCAGCCGCATTGCATTGTCGCTATCTCGCTCAATCATTCCAATTGGGGGGTGTTTCGTTTGAACTATTAGTTATCACTTTGACTGCCTCCGAATTATGTCGCGTTATAACTCTCGACTCAAATGAATGATTGTGATTGTGAACGAGAAGAAGAGTCTGAGTTTGAAAGAGATGGAAAAAGAAGAATATAGATGGATGATAGCAATGATCATAAGAAATTCGTTATCTGATTTATCGTGCTGTCATTTGGTATATACTTGTTATTCTATTGTACTTTCAACCCTTTGCTATCATCAATAATTGATTAATTACGTGGGAGATGATGTTTATATATAAAAACATAATTAGATGGTCCTCGATTAATCAGAAAAAATTGTTAGGAGATTAGTAGAATGTCATTCAGAAATACATGTATTAGGAATTTTTGAAATGACAAGTATGACTGATGTAGGTCATCGCTACAAAGGGATGGTGATTACTTTTCGGTATGAAATTAGTTTTCTGGGGCAAATGTCTCCATTTTTTCCTTTAGGCAAAACTAGGCAACATTTCAATATCCGTTGATAAATTAATTCAAATACAATAATATCTTCATTCTGCGTCTATTTTTCGAACCTCTCTTTCTTTCTCTCTCTAGATGCGACGACGATAATTAATTGGTTTCGACAACTATCATTTCCCTGTCTGTCTGTGCGTCTGCTTGCAATTTATTTCGATGTCCTTTCTTTTTTATCACTTTGTAAAACTCCTTTTAAAGATCCATTTCCTCATCGGCAAAACTCGTAAACAAACCAAGATGAAAGTGAACTTTGATTATGAATATGTTTTAGTTAAAGTTCATTACAAAGTATACACCCTTTTGTCGTTGATTAAGTTATCATTTTTAAAAGAAATTGCTAAATATTGACATGAAAAGATGAAACTTTGATTAAACAACAAAATATACAAACGACATTGCTGACCAACTTGTGGAACGATTCGCTCTCATTTAACACATTCAAACTCATTAATATATTCACGTCGTGTTAAGATACACATATATTTATTAATCTATGAAGTTAATCTAATAGTTTTGATAAACAAAATATCAATATGATTTAATCAGATTGATATAAACTGGGTATGATTTAGGCACATTAATTTTACATAAAAAGTATTTGATTGAATTTAGACGCGGTCCTTCAGAATATCCTTTTTTTTTTAAAGGAGCGAACAAGTGGAGACTAAAGATATGAAAAGCTCTCCACTCCAATCTGCTCTTGAATAGAGAGGGAGGGTTTTGCTCAAATCAATTGGACAAGAGGCGCTCTTCACGAGTACTCGAAACAAACTAAAGACCAATTTAAGGGTAAAACGTAAATAGATTCTCCCTTTGAGTATCGTGGCAAAAAGAAGTTATGGGGATATTATGATTCCCAGTGGATGGTGTGGTTTTCTTTCTCCGCCCTTGGCCCAATTCAACCTATTGTCAAACTTTGGCTAAATTGCCTTCACTTACTGTCATAGAGTTGGAGCGTATTGTGTTTGCAAAACGTTTGAAAGCTCATGCTTTTTCCTTCCTTTTTTCCCTTCCAACGACTTGTCGCCAGTCCGGGGCAGTTAATGAAAGGGGGCCACTTTCCACGAGTCTTCGCGAACAATCAAAGACTCTTTCCTAAGACTGGTCTGGGACCAAATTTACAACTCTAAAGGACGTGAAATATCGCGTGAGACGGAAAAAAAAAGAATAGAAGAAAAGGAAAAAGAAAAAGAAGCCAATTAATTGGCACTTGGCAAAACGTGACTGTTAAAATCATTAGGTATAATAGGAACAAGAACGTGGTGAAAACAAACTAAAGCAAAGCTATAAAATGACCCCGTGTCGCCATACGATTGAGTAAAGACTCGGTATATTGTGTTAATATTCATATCATGATTGTTCACTAAATTGCAGCACCAAGATGTCGAGACTGGACTCTTCAGGGCGATATCTAACAGAAAGTCTTATCAATATCATGTTTGTCTTAGGGATGTATTGCTCGTTTGCTATTTAAACTCGCCTTTTTGAAGACAAATTAGCACATTCCGGGCATGCTTTCAAGAAATGGAGACCACCCTTTAGTCGGAATATATAATTTAGAAGGTTGAATAGTTCAAAATTTGTGTGTTTTGTTGATTGCCTCTTGTAGAATCTGTGAGTAATACTTATTGAATTGTTCACTCTACTTTTACAACGCGCTTAACATATAAAAGATTGTCTCGCCCTGCAGAAATGTAATAAAAAGACTTAAAGTAAACACTGGATTTGTAAAGTCAATTGCTTGCCAACAGAATATAGTTCCCATTAAAATTCTTGTAAAAGCTTTTAAATTATTAAACACTCTTTTATTACTCGTTATTGATTCCTCGATAAACGTCCCATGTAACGCTCTTTAAACTTTGGCTAGCATCGCCTCGTTTGATTATTGGTCGGAAGTAAAGGCATTAATACCAATATTCTAGCAGGCAGTTGAAGCAATGGAGAACTTTTGCGGAGGAGGAGGTGAAGGGAAGGCATAGGGTGGAGTCTATAGACTTGAATGATGTTTCCCAAACAAACACGTGTCAAGTCGAATCATTCAGCTGGTACTTATGGCAGCGTGTATGTCTGCCCACTCATTCTATCCGAGCGTGTTAGAACCAAGGTAACTTCAAGTTTAAGCAACCTTAAGATATGAAATATAGTTACGGGATTCGTTAGATGATGATCGTGTGTTATTACGCCTGCCAGCGCTATTAACTCTTCATCATCGACAACCACATTTATGGCTTATAAGTAAAGGAGAATAGATAATGTGGGAGGGATCAGCCAGCAAGCATGTCGTTACGTGAAGGGTCCAATTACGGTATTCATTCATTCGTATTAGGGTTCAGTCATCGAGATGCTTCAGAATAGAATGGTCGGAAACCATTAACTCTTCAACTAAGTCAAATACCCATTATATACTATATCCATTAAGATGGCATGATATTCTAAGCGTGTGTCCCACTTGGGAGGCATAATGATGCTACAAAGTGAATATAAGTTGGAATGTCCAGAAAACTGCTTTTCAGGTGTGTCTGTTTCCTGAAGCAATATTGCATAATTATTAAAAAAATATTTTAAAAATAAACTAGCATGTTAGTAATGGTGGGCGGAAATTTAGATAGACAAACATATAGAAAGATAGATAGATTACTAGCTAACTAGCTGGAGAGAGAGAAAGAGAGATAATGGGTGAAAAGAAGAAAAACTTGAAAATGTGATAAGTTACACACGGCTTGGATCTTTAGATGGACCTCGTTGTTTGTTTATGTGTGTCTTTTCTTTTTATATGATAATCCATTGGTACTTTTGTTGGACTTTTCCAACTCATTGTCCACTGTAGAATTATGAGGAAATCGTGCGAGGAGAAATCTGCAACAGTTGGAATGTCAGGAGAGTGATTCTGCGACAGAAATTCTACCGGTATGGCGACGACATGCCAGTGATTAACAATTTAGTGGGCCAGGCAATCGTCTGAATAAACCAAAACAAAATAGCAGAATTCATTATGGATAGTCAGTTGAGCGAATAGTTCGCATTGTATTGAGCTCATTGTACGAATCACAGCTATTGTTGGAGCCAACTCGGTTGTCTTTATATCCATCCTGTCAAATCGGGCCCCAAATCCCTTTTCTCTCTCCCTTCATTCCTTCCCCACCTTCATAATTATCCCCCCTCCCCGTCCAGATTGATCGTTTCTTCAACCTTTCCACATTCGTACTTGCGTAGAAAATATCAGATCAGATCGAGCTCAAAGCAATACGAAAAAAAGACACGCATTGCATAAACACATTGATCAAAACTTACTTATTTTGCTATTTTCATGATGTAAGGAAGAATCACTATAAAAGAATTACAAGTCAAACTTCACAATGAGAGCAACTGTACCCTTGTTTTGTATATGCATATGAACTTTGAGGTTGGCACGAACTATGACGCCAGCCGGACAGACACTTCAAATCAGAGACAATGAAGAGAAAAGGACAAATTTGAAGGATTCATCCCTGGTTTCAATCTAGTATCATATAACGAAAGGTTAAACAGTGTATACTCATGACGATAATATACCCCATTCCTGGTGAAACAGTGTATACTCATGACGTAAAGATACCTCGTTCCTTTCCTGAACCTAAAGCAGCAGACCTACTTCTTTCTCCGGGTCACAAAAAGATTAAATGCAATCATTCGTTCGTAAAAGAGGAAACAAACAATGAAAAGAAAAGCAGACTATATTGAGTCGTCTGAGCGCAAAGTACCCCGAGGGTATATCTATTTGATCATACTATTTAATGTTATATAATGTTACCCATTGAGCCTACATTTTGAAGGTGAAATAAATTTTTCCTTCTTGTAGAAATCGACCGGAAATATGGACAAGGGATTCACGCAAATTGATTCATTAAATGCCTTTTTGCAACAGTTGACAGCCCATTTATATTAGATTTTGTAAGGCTTCCAAAACTTTTATTGGGTCAGAATTCTTTGAATTTAATTGATAAATAGCAAGATACTGATTATGGGATGTGTGCATTCTCTGTGTGAATACTGGGAGGTGCACTTCGGCACAGACAGATATAACCAATAACCTCGATTTTTTAAAAGGAAATTTACACTGACACGATCGCAACTGCTTTCCAACAATCAATCTTAGGCAATTTCAGTTTTTTTGTTCATTTTGAAATGAGTAAACATTACAATCACATATTACGTAATCCAAACACGATATGTATGAAACATAGTATAGGGTATTGGAATTGTCTGCGTTCATTTTTCGATAATAGCTGGGCTGGTATTATCACTAAGATTAATCATAAATCATGGACGGAACATCAACGTAAATTATCTAGCATATCAACGTTACTGTTACCTGGAGAACAATATAAGAACATATTTAATGTTAAGAACATATTTAATATATGTTTATGTTGAATGTAGAAATGTTTATTGGATCAATAAAAACTTATCAAATAAAACAAAGAAATATATATATTTAACAAGTATTTCTCTTCATTACCAGATATAATTTCCTTCTTTTAACTAACAAGTTCCCCCCCCCAATAATAATCTCAAAATGTTGATTCCTGTAAGTTTTGTATAATCTACAAATGCATGAAACCATACTTAAAACAAAAAAGTTGTTGTATGTTCGGTAAAATTATAGAAATACGGGTGAATAAACGAATAAACCAGATGAAAATCGAAATTTGCGTCTTTCTACAAACATTATGATTTGCAAAAAATTGCTATTGCTATAGCGTAAACAAAAATTCTCACAGAAGGATATCTGTTGGTAGGACGGACGGGAATGAAGGAAAATATAAAAATTTGTATATGTTTTGAGAAACACTGACTTGGCGACCTCAAAACGCGACATAATGGTACCGGGAACATCGAGAATATATTTATTCTACCGAACAAAACTAACACGAACAATTCAAAAGAACTGTTATCAAAATAAATACACAATGTGATGCCACATTATTATGAAATAAAAGAGAATAAAGAGAAACACAGGAATAATACTCACGTGTTGCTTCATGCTGCAGGCATTCAACCTGCAAGTATTAATACAATATCAATGCTAAATCACTGTGTACCGATGGGCCTGCTACTACTATTTCTACAAAAAATACTAATACTAATACTAATACTAATACTAATACTACTACTACAATAACTACTACTACGACTACTCTACTACTACTACTACTACTACTACTACTACTACTACTACTTACTAACTACTACTTCTAGTATTGTTACTACTACTCCTACTTCTACTTCTATTTCTGATACTACTTCTAATATTGCAACTACTACTACTACATGTACTACGACTACTACAAATACTACTTCTACTACTACTTCTACTACTATTTACTACTACTACTACTACTACTACTACTACTACTACCATATTACTACTACTACTACTACTGCTACTACTACTACTACTACTACTCTACTACTACTACTACTACTACCACCATATTACTACTACTACTACCACCATATTACTACTACTACTACTACTACTGTCCGGTCAATGACATTTGCACATCTGCTAGTCAGACCCAACTCTGAGTCACTCAATTTTTTTCTCTTTTTTTAAGTGCAAACAATTTGATTGAATGTTTGGAACAACATTACAGTAGAAATTATCAATTTAACAATCAAAAGTAAAAATAACTTCAAACGTGAAATATCGAATTTTGGGGAAATAATCAGGAAACTTTTTCAGGAAATATTATTTACATGTATATTCAGGCTATCGTTTTATTACTTTATTTACTTTTTGCAAAAAGTTATTAGGCTGAAACTTAATAACTTCGTGATTTTGTAAATCATTGGTTGAATCGACAGTGTACATGTTTTCCTTCTGAAATTGGCTGAAGTGAACTATTTTCATAACCAGTCTGTGAAACTCAAATGTTCAATGTAAAACAAAAATCTTACAATAGTCTTTCTGTTTTCAACTGTAACAGGATAAAGCTGGATTCATTAATGCCCTCCATGATTCACGTATTTTGGAAACAGATAATCAATTTATCTTCTTCTTGGAAATGCAGTTGAATAACGAAAGAGAAAGATACATTGAAATATCTGACATGCACTGATGAAGTTAATTTTTTTCATTCACTGCTCAAAGAATTGTCATCTTGGTTTTATCTAAGACTTTGGAAAAAGGCACGCACTTTTAAAAACAATCGTTTCTCTTCTGAATGTAAACATTGTGATGCTGTAAAAGCCAGTAAATTACAACCCCAAAGTTGTGTCTGTATATCTTGAGTGAGAGGGATAGAAGAGAAGAGAAAATAAGAGAAAGAGAGAGAGAGAGAGAGAGAGAGAGAGAGACAGAGAGGAAGAGAGAAAGAGAAAGAGAGACAGAAAGAGAGAGAAAGAGAGTGGGAGAGAGCGAGAGTGAGATAAGTCAACTCGGTTACGGGCACTCTGGCACTCTGGCGCGACACCCGCCGAAACTCCTTGGCACGGCACCCCCATGACCTCCCACGGGTACTAGAGGTCATCTCTCCTTCGGGATCTGACCTCATGACCTCAAGTTCAAGAATCCTCCCCTGGGATAATGATAGGAACACGTGACGTGATTATTTCTCCAAGAAAAAAACCTTGATGATCCGTATTTTCTTAGTTATTTCTGAAAAATTAAAAAAAAAAAATTAAAATTAGATGTTTGTAATATGTCATACGGATGTAGATTTTGTAAGTATTCTTGCTAAAATGTATCCAAAGATTGATGAGAAGACAATCTGCAGAAACTATTCTAAAAGACTTTTATCGATTTTCCAATTAGAATGTGAGCATTAATGTGGAATGAATAGGAATGTCGCTTTGGTGTTTTTGCAAAGCGGAAAAGTCTTTTGTTTTTATTCAAACCCATCTGATCATAAAATGAATTGATATGATTCACGTTTATTTGTAATAATCTTAACCAGTTCTTTGTCTATGTCTTTGACAGGATCATCATGTTGATACTGTGTTTGCTGTGCCTCACATGGATGATACCCATCCTGGCTGGGTCTACCTTAGTCCCTGCAGATCGTTCATCATCAGAGAGAAATGTTGACGATTCACACTACCTCCCCCAAACCAACCCACTCCTACTCCTCGAGGAATACACTTCATTAAAATCACAGAACGAGGACCTGGACCCGTTATTGTTCCCTCCTGGAACCGAGATTCGAATCGCCCCGCACAGGGTCCTGAAACCTTCGAGCGAAGAAGCCATGCAGATTACAGAAAAACAATACCTCCGCGGGGACTGGTGCAAAACGCAGCCCTTGAAGCAACGGATCGAAGAGCCAGGATGTATCCCAAGGACCATCGCAAACAGATTCTGTTACGGACAGTGCAACTCTTTCTTTATTCCCAAACAAGCGGCGTCTTATAACGAAGCTTTCAAATCGTGCTCGTTTTGTAAACCGTTTCGAGTGAACCACATCACAGTAACTTTACGATGCCCTGGTCAGAATCCACCTATCAAGAGGAAACGGGTTCCCAGAGTAAAACGGTGCAGGTGTATGGCGGTTGATGTTCCGTAGATCAACGACCATCGCGTTTAACTTTATAAACAATTATTTATATCTTGTGGACAAACTTTGCGATGAAAAGACATCTATGATGAATTTATCTATGACATGTATCATTATTACTACTATTTGAAGAAAAAAAAGAAAACACTGCCACGCAACACACATTATTCGATGTATACATATATTATTGTACATGTATATGGACGTGTGAAGCGGGCTCTGATTGGTGGATTAGGAAAATCAACGAATCATCACGTGACTTCACGAGATGACGACATTACTGAGTGGTGTCCAACTAGCTCTACGTATTGATTGAGCTGCTATGTACGACGACGGGAGCTCATAGGCACGACGCCATATTTATGCAATTAATATAATGCACTCATTTAATTATTGATATTTGTATAACAGAAGATATGAGATATTCACATTGTACATATTGTATAATGATATAATCTGTACTGTATTCAATGAAGATATTCTCTACTACTCCTATTTTTTTGTGAGTGAAATATAATGTAAATACATGGAGATATGTATGAACTATAAAGCTTATATTGTACTGCTTCATTTGTCATTACAGTGTTTCTAGAAATTGATTTCACGTTTGAAAAGAATTACGAGTTTCATATAGCCTGTTTAAACTCCCAAAACACTATTTTATTACGACCAGAGCATTTATACATGAAACAAAAAGGTAACAAAGATGTAAAACTGATATGAACTTGCCGTAAAACATGATGATGAAGACATTATTTACATGAAAGAGCAGTTTTAGAAAGGTGTAGAGTAATTCAATGAAAGTCTGTTTTGTCAAGAAGTCCATGCGTGATAAACAATAAATAGTTTGAAAATACTTTTTCAACTAAAGTAAAGAAAGAAGCAATTTATACGAAATCAAAGAGGAAACAAACACCTCAAAACTTTACTACAAACAGACATTGAGTTTAAATGAAAGATTGTGAGCATAATCATTCATGGCTTTGTAAAAAAAAGAACCATACCCAAATCTGATGCAAGACGTTATTTTTAAATTTTGACTCTTATTCGATATTTCCATATTCGCTGGCGCCCCTCTCCTAGCTCTAGGTTAAAATGAATTCTATAAACATTTTAAGGAAATGAATTACCACAGCTCTAGAATCAATAGCAAGTGTTAAAATGTTGGCTCCGATCAAAGTGGAAAACGCCGAAAGCTTTTTGAAACATAAACATAAAAAGTAGGAAGAGAAAATAAGGATGATAGAGGAGGGAATGAGAAGCAGAGGAAAGCGTCTCGCCGGCTGGACTGACTGCTTCTAGTTATTGCATCTTATTTAGAAAGAGATTGATCCCTTTGACAACAAGTTTCGGCGGCATCCACTGAGCGGCACACTTCCACAATATGAAACACAATACCACACTTTTTTTCTTTTTCGGGGGGGGGGGGGAGGAAGTGTGCATGTGTTCTAAACCTTCACGGATATTAGAGAATAAAATTTGATAAACAGTCTCTTATGATTTCTTAGGGTTAAAGTTGTTTTTATGGAAACCATTTTAATTTTTTCTTCCTCCCTTGCCTCCGTCAACATCTGGAGGTTATGACCAATAGGATGGTACCATGCCGGGTTCTTGCCGCCGATTCATGATCAAGACTAGGGCTGGGCACAGGACCGCAGCTGTTAAGGTCAACACCGCTACACAGAAAACAGGCAATGAGCTCTAAAACTCACAAACACATACACAAACTAAATCAGCATCTTTTAAAAACAACCTCTACCTTTGAAAACTCTTGAAATCCCGAAAAACGAATTTTGAAATAGGCCTATTTAATTCTGTCAGTAAGCTACAATAAATATCTTTAAAAGATGTGAAAAAGAAAATATACTCTTTCATATTTTACAGTCATTTTCGATTACATCATTTGAATTTAAGAAAGAAGAAAAAGGTGGAACATTTCGATTATGACTTCCGTTTATCTTTTAATGAGGCAGATTCCACCAGACATTGAACCTAAGGTCAATATTTATGAAACAAAACACATTTCCAAGAAAGAGGATAGAGCATAACGATGTCCAATCCATGATTACATAACAGACTACAGTGTACATGCGATTTTATTTGACAGTTTCATTATTATTTTGGTTACCAGCCTGTGATGTATATATTGAGCAGAGGAGATTGAAGTAAAATGCTACAATATCAGTTTGTGTTTTGTTATAGAACATGACATATAATATTATGGGAACATTGAATGAATAAAGGAGGAAGAGAGAGACAGACAGAGAGAGAGAGAGAGAGAAAGACAGACAGAGGGGGCGGGGTTGAGAGAGGAAGTGTGAGCTCGAAAATAAGAAAGTAGAGAGAAAAGTTGAAAGGCAGATGGAAACAAGATATATAAAAGAGCAAAGATGGATAGATAGAAAGGGAGAGAGAGAGAGAGAGAGAGAGAGAGAGAGAGAGAGAGAGAGAGAGATAGAGATAATATGGAGAAAGTAATCATGGAAAGATCTGCAAATGACTATAAAATGACATATTGATATGACCTTATTTATAATAAGAGTTATGAAAAGGGACATACGTCAGTTCGATAAAAAATATATAGATATATTAATGGGATAAAACATAAAACTGCAGATATTGATAACAACACAGTATCCAAATGGCCGCTAACTACATCAAAACTTCAGATAACACTTAATGAAATATTTATTTTAAACAAATTGATCTAATTTTCATCGGGACATAATTACAAGTCGACAAAATAATATGTCAAGTCTTCAGACCCTTTGATATTCTTGGCAGCATTTCATTATTGGGTGAAATTAAATTAATGTGTAGCACACTTTAAATATAAAGTGCATGCACTCGATCCGATGTGTATAAATCCAATTACGGGAAATTCAAATTCCTAAACAAAAACTGAAAGTAACATACGCATTCTAAGGGCAGCGTTACTGGATTGCTAGAATTCGAAATACTAAATTGCTTTGATGTCCAAGCAAACAGTCATTCAAGAGGACAACGGGAATAAGATTTTAGGTTTGGAAACGTTTTAGAACTACAGAAGATTTTGAAGTGCCTTTTACACCCACATCTTATTCGTAACAATTATAGATTCATAGAAACTGTTTAAGTTCACCAAAAATGTTATTGATTTAAAATTTAAAAATAATGGGAGGAGTCTTGGAATGCGATGGCTGCATCCGTTTATCCTCGAAAGGTTGCACCCGAGCGGACATGCAACCCGGCCCAGCGACTCGGCGGGAGCCCCGATCGCCTATAACCAACCAATTCATTGGCATGTACTGTGCCGTAACCACTAACACAGACGGGGGAGCTAGAGATGGGTGGAGCGGTGTCACAACCAAAGCTTGTTAACACTCCCACCACATTACCCTAGTCCATGGTTTCAGAGAAATCGTCGACAGAGATATCGGTACCATTGTGACTAATGGAATCCAGTGAAATTAGTTTCCGATTACCAATTTGGTTTAAACTCGTGACTCTTTGCTAGATTCTTCCCCATTTTCAGGGTTCATCTTTATCTCTTTCCTAATCATGTTCCCCAATCTTTCTCAGCTTTCCGAATTAGTTTACGCCGTCTGTTTGGTATTTCCCTTTCTTCCCACCCATTCCCACGTTTTTATCCACCAAAAGTTTGGCAATGTGTGTTTGAGGGAAAGGTGCGTGCGCATTACAGGCTTCAGCATCCGTTGATGCAACATTTCGACAGCCACCAACCAGCACCAAGAATGATTGGGGTAGACCAACTGCGGGTCTAGTTGGTCCTATGGGTACGCACCACACAACCATCAGCATACTGTCTTGGGTTAGAGCTACCCCTGAGTTTGGAATGTGACAAGTTCACACCAGGATCGCTCTCCCTGTCGCCAGTCAGACTAATCGCTGTGTCTCCATCTTCCAACAAAATCCTTGCTCCTCCACTTGACGATAAAGATTGGTGACAATTGCCATTTTCGGCAATAATTTGGATAAAAATACGATGCGGCTTCCTCAGTAACAGGTTATTGAACCCCATATACGTCATAATGCTGAGGTTTTTTCCTTTCTTTCTGAGTGACGACGAATCATTTTGTTCTTGATGATGATATAATTCTTTAAAAGGAGTACCGCTTTTTTCTCAGCTAAACATTCATATTTGTGAATTAACTTTCTTGAAAGAAAATGCAATATAATTTACGCATGACTCGGCGAAATTGCCATTAAATGATTGTCAAAGGATTTTCCAATAACTTTATTGCGATTGCATGTCTACAGAAAATAATGACGTATTTCTTATCTAGTCTTGTTTTTGCTACTTTTCACAGCGGAAAAATATTTCTTATCATCATCGTTTAAAAGTAAAACCTCCACCTATGAACTTCTCAATGAAATTTGAACAAACACATTGGAAATTCTAAAGATAATTTTGAGACTGAAAAAAAGGTTTAAATAAAGATGTTAATTATTTAGTCATTTTTTAAGTTAGAATTTGAATTTGAAATATTAGTTTGATATAATTTATATGTGAATAAAATTCAACAAATTAGGCAGATCAAGACAGAAAGGAGAATAGTCATTCCCCAAAACACCCCTAAAACACAAAAAGAACCAATAAGTACACCTAAATTTACAGAAAATAATATAAATATATCAAGTAGACGATATTACATTTGGTGAAATAAAACTTTTAACTTATGATCAATGAGACTTATCTTGAGTCTTTTATAAAATAATTTGATGGAAAATGTTGTCTTTGACGTCCTTCCATTATAATATGCATAGAAGAAGGCAAAACCTGTATTATTTGAGTCCTAATCTATCATTTTTAGGACTATAATCTATACGAGCCTACGATGATGGAACGAATATCATTACCCAAAATCCAAGGCAATTCAGAATCTAAAGTCGTGTGTCTCCTTGCGTGTATATTAGATTAGTGACTTTTGTATACCTGGATTTACCGTACCCAAAGAAAATACAGCCAATAAAAGAATGATCATTTATCGGTATATTTGGGGTACTCGACATGAAAGCTCTGATTTCGTAGTGAAAAGTACAAACTCCCCGAAAGACGGAGTTGCGTCGTGTTCTATCGTCTGCGTGGCGCCTGTTTAAAACAAGTATAATACGAGAATAATCGGTGAAGTATGATGACGCCTCAAGCTTATCATCCCATACAATACTCAGGCATTGATGCTAACCGAATAATACCTGTTAAATACAAACTTATATTTGTATTCCCGACACGGCTCAACGCTATTTATCGATCATTGCAGTACAATTACCTCTCTTTTCAGCGGCTTTCTTCCCGTTTTATTCTTTCTCCCGTGCTGCCTTTCTTGTACTAATATAAATAATTCATTTAAGCAGGGGAGTTGGACGCATCTGTCAAACTAGAAAGACACAATCCTAGACGATTATGGGGCGGGTATTTTCTGGCTTAATGCCTCAAGATCATCTCATTACATGAACAGTAGAATGCAGATCAAAAATAGTTGTCATTCTTTAAGGTTGATCCTGTCTTTATTATGACAAATGAATATCAATAGATGTCGTGTCGTCTCCATGTCCCTTTCCATGGACCCATTAGCCGAGTTTTTACACGGAACGTCGGCTGCACCTCGTTCTCAATTCAGTTTTACTGTCAATTTTATGGCAGCCAGAAGCAGCAGCCAGAAGCATGACCGAGTCAAGCTTGTTCATGGTAGTCGAGGAATGTCAAAGAAGCGACGTACTATCAATAATCTGGACTATTCAACTGATGCATTTTGAAAGACTGGAATTTTCTGGATGGGTTTTGTCAGCGTAATAATAGCAAATATCAGACATAAAATTATGACAATCACTCATCATAATGATGAAGCTAGCATCAACACATTAAGGGAGATTAATATGAATTATTGATTACTGATCATCAACCATATTGTTCAACTAGTAAATGACCAGTCATTAATCTTTGAATAATTTGACCAATCTGTCCTCTATTGAGCAGACCAACCATAAAACCAGATAATCATTCTTTTAAAATGGCCACACCCGCAAGCCACCGGCAATTATGAAAGCAACCATCCAATCAACCGACTTATAGAGACGGCCAGCCAGTAGAGACAGACAACTTATACAGCCCATCTAACAAAATCAATCAACCATTATAGAACTAGCCAGCTATTAAACAAGTCTAATTACGATCAAACAATAGACGATGTAGCGATTCATATAAATAAACTACTGAAAACAAGGCTAAAATGAAATATGAATCAATATCATAGGTCATCATTTACAATGATTTCACTGACCAAGTAAGCAATACAAGAATTACTGTATTCCCTGAATCTGCAGAGCCAGACTAACTTATCAAATCCATGAAGGATAGTCGATTCGATAACCAAAGAAATACTTCTTCGTCGCCAACAAGTCTCTGCCTATATATCTTTCTTTTACAAAACAAAACGCAAATTTCACTGATATAATTCTATTTTCATCTTCAGAAAACACTTCAATAATATTGATTATGAGCACTTGTTCCAAATTCATAGTAAACAAAAGTAAAGATTTTCCGATTTGTTTCATTCTCATAATGTGTGGAAGTGTGTGGGCGTGGGTATGTGTATACGTGTGCACGGTGAGGGTGTGAGGGAGACTTGGATGTCAGATCCATTTGCCAAGAAATAACATTAAGCAGAAAACTTTCAAAGTACAAACAAATCCTCATCGTATTTGCCGACAAGGATAAAAAGTGCCATTGGTTTCCATTTTCCCCCAAATACTAAAGAAAAAAGGAGAAGAAAAAAAAAGTAAAAGAAAGAACTAACAAAACGTTGTCGGTGGTGTTAACAAGTGTTATAGCTATTATAGTATTGTTTTGTTATAATTTTAGAGATTTATATTCAAGAGGTTGAATCATGAAGAACAAATATGCCCAAAGACAACAAAAAACCCAGAAATTTCAATCATCATTAAACTTTTGAGCTATTGCAAAATCATGGTCCTTTTCTTAGACGGAGAAGTTGTCATACCAAGGAAAAATGAAAAACGTTGACCATATCCAGGACGACACCTAACACAGCTAACTGCCCTTGACTTCTAAATAAACTGCTATACAAAATGTCTATTCATCCTCGCATCATCATAACAATAGGTATTACTATCAAACACTACATGAACACAGCAAGATAACCATCAAGAGTAAATTTCCATAATTTATTGCTCTCTTTGTAAATATACCATTCTCAAAATCATTTGCATAATACAAGTTATGTTAGATAGCTACCATTCTCTACATATTCTAACTCAGTTATGGTGAATTTCACCATCGTCAGCACATTAATTCACAATAATCTACAATAGCAGAGCCCATACAGGATGTGTTATACCCTAATTGACTTTGTATCAAAACTATAGTGCAAAATCTTTTCATGAATATTTCATCGAATTGAGGAATGCGTGAAATGTAAAGAAAAGGAATGAAATATAATCTTTGAAATACACTGGTTCATAATTCATTCAATAACAAACCCTCTTCCATAAAGAAACAATTGATGATTGTTTTATTTCTTATAAATTATATTTTACTCTCGTTGATTTCAATGTAGCACTTTTCCTTCAATTTTGTATGAAACATTTTGATAAGAATACATGTGTACCATAAAATATAAGAAGAGAGAGAGAGTGAGAGAGAGAGAGAGAGAGAGAAGAGAGAGAGAGAGAGAAGAATATAAGTGACATGATTACAATAAAACAAAGAAAAGAGGACAAATGGAATATATAGGAGGAAAATGAATGTGAAAGAATAAGAAATAAGGGTGATGAAAGAAGGGAAGAAAAGGTACTATAGCTAAATTAAGATCAAGTCAAAAAGACAATTCAAACTTTAACACTTTTTTTAATTTCACAATGAATTCTGCATCATATTTTGAATGGAAAAGCAATTAAAAATGATGTAAATGCTTTCTAGCAGTCAGGTAAAACAATCATAGAACAATACACTGTAATACTAAGCATGGGGAACTGGAATTGCTTGAGAGGAAGAGAGAGAGAACTACTATAAAATTAATACAATTTCAGTCCTCTACACATCATTGAAAGAATGAAAAAACATGTTACCACGCCAAAATATTTGTTCAGGGAACTGTTCTATTGATGTATAACGGTGATCAACACTAACTGCTGTGCAGACCTCCCATTTGAGCCACGTACATGCATTGTTCAAATAAACTGTACAGAAATGACATGGCAATGGAAACACAGCATCCAACTTTTCAACACTTGCTGAATTTTAAATCAATGTTTACATTTCATATGAATCAAGTTGATTAATAGAGCAAATACTGGATCTCAAATTATTCTTACAGATTTGACATTTCAGGTACAAAGAAAAGAGAGTTGATCGTCTAATGGCAATGATCAGTAAATGTTGGTAAAATACTTGAGATGGAGACCATTGACCCTCATAATACCCCAGCAATCACTAAACCATATTGGGGGGCACACAATGCATATAATCTACATTCAGAGTTCAAATGAGTTGGTTATTACGTGGTATCACTAAGATGCAATAAAAAGAAATTGAAGGATTATTTGAGCTGTGAGAGACATGAAACACTAAGAGTTACACTCCAACATGAAGCTAATACTCATCATCAACAAAAATTAGTCTGTCAACTTGGTCTCTTGACATTTTCTTTCTAAATGGAATGTCTTTGGTAGTACTTTTATCGATGAAAATCCTTTAATTATTGATGAATAATTGAATAATCTTGAATACCCCTTCATTTAAGAACATGTCCTCCATGTTCACCTTTTCATGTTTACAATACACCAAATTAGCATCGTTTAAAATCCAAGAAGCACATACATTATCTGCTATTCAGAAATAAAAAGGAATTTAACCACTACAATGGAACTCCACCCTTATCTGGAATATCTTTCCACGATCTGGACATATTTCCACAGTTATCTAAAAATATATCTCCCGGAATACCACACAGGAATGTTTTAATAATACATGTACAATGAAATATATATTCTTCAAAAATTTACAATAGTATGAAACTGTTTCCTAAATATAAATATAAAAGCAAGAAAGTTTGAGTTAAGTAACATCAGCCCTTTGTAGTAATTTCAGCCTCTTTCTTTAAGCATTCAGCAAACATATACAATTATCACTTTATAGCAGCTTACAATATAAAAAGATATGTAAATAATTCAGCCAATTCATGAGTTCAGACAAACTAGTTTATAAACTATGACTAGTATGAATACAAATATCAATTAATTTAAAGTTTATTGAATATATTGTACTCATAGCAAAAACATTTAAAATATGACCAAAGAAAAAAGTTCAACTTATGAACTTACTTATCACTGTTAAGATATACAACAAAATTGAGTCAAAATACTTTGTGAATCCTTTACATGTATCAGCCTTTTGAATACTTTGTTTACAAACTAATGTGAAAGACATGAGTTTCATGCAACAAGTCTCTTAGCAAATGATTCATTAAGAAACTAAAAAGAGGAAATGTACAAGTCAAGAGCAATCTTATAGTTATTCATACTGCAAACACATACATATGGATTTGATATCTCTCAAGAATATCCAGGAATAACATATTTACCTAAAAAAGATTTCGTAATTATATTTATAGTTAGACAGTACTGTTTTAACCCTACCTTGGATTAAATCATTTCACTACTTAGTACTAAGCATACATATTATGAAAGGAAATTTTATTGCACTACAATGAATGAACAGAGAACAGAAAATGAATACATAACTTAATCTCTTTTACAGATTTATATTCAGCTACCTCAATCTCTTATTGCTTGCTAAAACTTCAAATCATGACACTTATAAGATTAGATAACAACGTTTAATGTAACAGTAACAAAACAGACTTTTTTGTTATTCAAATGAAAATATTGCCTTTGGGAAGGCACTAAATCAGACAAAATATACCATACAAAGCCATAGAGGGCGACAAAGGCTTTATGTAAATGATACAACAGTTATCTCCTAATAACTGTAGAAGAAAACCCAAGCTTGTGACAGATTTCATGGCCAAATGCATCACTGTTTATAGAAATAATAGATACTAATGACCTAGTTACGAATTAGCAATCATACAAGATAATAGTAAACATTTGAAGAGAAAATAACATGAATGAGAAGTTTGATAAAGATTTAAGATGAATATATACATACATAAGGTAAGTGATACTCAAGGAGAGAGAGAGAGAGAGAGAGAGAGAGAGAGAGATGAGTAAATGGAGAAGACTAGATTTAAAATAATTTACTTTGAACATTCAAGTAATTCTCTAATACCCTTTTTTCTCTACTACACTACATGACACACTTTCCTTTGCAATGTATTAATAGTCGAGGGTATTGCCCAACTTCATCGTTATCTGCCTCTTCATCTGCCATTATTTTCTGCATAGATCAATAAAGATTCCTTTGTTCAGCTATACATCACACACAACAATCAGTTGAATTGAGAAATATTGGAAGCCAATGTGGTGCATCAACAAATAATCCATACATATCACACAAAGAACAACATGGTAACAAGAAAAACAAAAACAAACAAACAAGAAAACAAAACAAAAAACGATGGAGGGGAGAACGTAATGGTAGGAAAGGGTAAGAAAAATGTCACACATAATTACAAAAAAATAAAAAAACAAAGAAAAATACTCCAGTATAACAAATACCGGCAGACAACATTCAAAACTCAATGGAATTTCAAGAAAACAGAGGTGATAAAATTTAAACTTGCAGTACTTGCTTGTATCTGTTCTCAACAGAATTATCTGATTACTCTTGGAAACAAAATTGGAAAATGTTGAACCTACTTTTATGGTTCTACAATACTGCATAGTTTTATTGCTATGAATATAATGTAATCATTTCAGCTTCTGGCCAAGTTTTATGCTCTTCTCTTCAAATTGAAAGCAATCATAATTCAGCTGAATTAGAGTTGTTCAAACAAAAATGTGACAATATCATAATTGGAAGTGAAAGAAAGTGTTCTCTAATCATTTCTATTTCAAACTAAAGTAGGAATACAAAAATTGTGGCACGATTGAATTATTACTATTTCATTAACAATTTACAATTATCAAACGTATCTAAATAATTGAAAGATCATGTCCAACGTGACAAGATTTAGTTATTAAAAAAAAAAAAGCAGGTTCCCAAATGTAAGCTAATAAGTTTCACACTACACAACAAATCCCATGAGTGCCATTTTGTTCATTTGAATCTGGTCAGATTAAACTGGTTCAGCCTGTATTTCTTTTTGCGTAGTATGTTACCTTGAAAGTTGTTAACCATACATGTTTTTTGCAATATGTCTTGGAAACGAAAGAGAGGTGAAGGTGCTAATACCCTGTAAATCCAATCCAGTTTATCTGCCCCTCACTCTTTATTAACAAATCAACATATTCACATGGAACATCTTTAATTTGTAGTAAAATAAAATACTATTACATAGTTAGGTGTAAGAGCTAAAACACTAATACTCTTATTGACCAACTCAAAATGTAACCTTTACATTTGAGTCTATGGTACAACTCACAGTCAAAAGAGAGTAATCTGTGTATTCACAGACCATGAGTACACTTAGACTTTGTTTAGTAATATCTGAAGATTCAATCATATTTGAATACTTCCTGAAACCATATTCAAGCTTCTGCTCACTTACAATCCTTACAAAATATGACACTATTCCCTGAGTTGTATATATTATGTCAAGCACTGGCTCATCCTAAGTCCATTCCAAGGAGAGGAGGCAAGACATCTACTAGGATTTTGTTGAAGCCGTTCTGCTCAGTCTTGCTTTCTGTAAGTAGAAAAAACAAACGTGGGGGTAGGGGTAAGAGGTATGATGATCAACAAGTACACAACCAGAAAGATTAATGTACAAAGGTTAACATACAGATTAATTATTTCAAGTCCTTTTTGTTTGTCTTCTGGTAATGACAGAAAATCCAGACCAAACTTACGCTGAATGTTCTATACTACATAACAAGTGAAGGCTGCCAAACGACATTGATTCAAATTAATATTATCTTAAGAATGAGTAAAACTGCCTGTTGAACACTAGAACACATGGTTGAAGTGGATTTGAGTGTTTTTTCATTAGTATGTCTACAATTTGTTGATCTAGACTGCCAACATACAGCATGAAAACAATCCAGAATGTTTTCAATTAGTTTCTCTCCTGATGCAAGAGGAACTCAAGATTAGCTTCATACAGTCTTTTAAAAAAGAGAGACAACAATGACTTATTTAATGATTTGAATTCCTAGAGGTTTGTTGTTTTCAAATTTTAATTGAAATGCAATAACAATAAGTCCATTAACTTGATGTTAAGGATTATGTGACTTGGTTGTGCAAATGAAAATTCTGGTCCAAAAGGTACATTTGGTAATACATGCAATTGCACCAATTGGGGTAATCAAGGTCCCCTGACAAAGAGGAAAGGTATTTCCTACCAGTTTCACAATTTTCTTTTCATTCTTGATAAAACAATAAGATTCTTCATATTTCAAATGTATGTTGGGTCTGTTAAAACGGGAATACTTATTTACCAGTCCATCAGCTTTTTTAGTCCCTGTTTTTATTGGAGCAGCTTTCCTCCATTCCTCCTGCTTCTGCCGTACAAACTCCTGGCTTTCAATTAACCTGGAAAAGGAAAAAAAATACCAAAATTTAGAGTTCATACTCACTTACACAGTACACATCATCGATTCTTGCAATGATAGTCTTTACAATCCTTGAATTTAACTGAAAATGAAATATGAAGATTTAAAAAAAAAGTGACTATAAAAAAAAAACCTGAAGAGAGATGGGTAAAAACAGCCCTTCATTTGGGTTGATAGATAGCATGGTACTCACAATCAGGAAAGGGTCCAAAAATGGAGGGGTCACCAACATAATAGGATAGGGAGTATTTATAGATGGCTAATGCCTCCCCCCTCCTCTGGGTTGTAAGCAGGAGCCACCTTTTTAAACTGCAGTGTAATTGGGATATTAACAAATGTTGAGAGCCTGCTTTTAGCACCAGCTTTCAGGCCACCTTTTAAGGTTGGCTTCAAACTCACTTTTAGGTGAAACAGGGGTAGAAGAGAAAGAGAGATGGGAGAGAGAAGGGAGTGGGGAGGGGAGGGGAGTGGGGAGGGGAGGGGAGGGAAAGAGACAGAGAGAAAAGAAAGATCTGCTGACCAGTGTTTGATTGCATTTGCAGATTTAGCTTACAAATTAAAAGCCTATCATCCGCCACCGCATTTCAATCAACACCGTCTAGTGACATTGTCACAGCTACAACTAACAGGTTCTCATGTAAGGAACTAAAAACTAATTGCTTAAATTGAAACATCCATCAAGACGAAAACTCCCCTCTCTCTTGCCACAAATCATGCCACAGGTGATAATGACGTCAACATACGGCCTCTTGGTGTCCAAACCTAGCATAATTCAGCCATCTTGACCCTGGCCTTACTACCCAATATGGAGCTTTTTCTTTTAATCATAAAACCATATCTTGAACTCTCAAAGACTCTCAGCCTCTGCGGTTTGATAGGAGCAGAAGAAAGCAGAGACTTGGGTGGAGCCAGCACCGCAATAACTCTGTTTTTATATTATCTCATTATTTAACCATTAGATTTGATATCACAGAATTGTGGTCTACTTGTTTAATGGGTTTAACAAATGCAAGACCAGAATCAATTTCAATAAGACACAACATTAAAGATTAAAAACACGGGGCAATGAACAGAGCAGAGATGGATATATCAGGAGCAAGGAAGACTTCTGTGGAAAAGCATAAATTAATTTCTATGTATTCATGTACTACAGAGTACATTTTGAATCAATACAGATTTAAAGGTACCAAAGTCAGTATGAAATTGCTAAGGCCAAGGTAACATTAGCTTACCAAATGAGATGTAAACATGCTTCTTAAAGCTAAATATGACACTAGTATGATGGTGATATTAAAACAGATAGCATACTTTATCTTAGCAGCTATTTGCTGTTCCTTCTTCCATAGATCCTTGAAGTCTCTGCAGAGAGGAGCCCAAAGATTGAAGAAATAGGCTGGGGTGACCTCATTATCTCCGTGCTTAGGTTTGAGACAGAACCACTCTGTAACTTCATGGAACCTGTATGAAAGAGACATATGGATTTGGTTACAGATCAATATACTGGTAATAAAGCACGGAGGGATTTCTGGATTCAACAATTCAATAAATTGATGTCAATCAAAAGAAGGAGAAGGAGAAGGAAAAGAAAGAGGAGGAGAAGGAGAAACAATACCAAAATAAAAATAAAGCAAGATGACCAGGGAATCCTCAAGCATGAAACCCTTGACGTCAAGAAGTCATTACTATTAATGTCACTTTCATTCCACACCTATCCCCTGATAACATCTGATCCCAAGTACATATTAACCCATTAACAACTGAATTCTCTGATTCACATACCAGTAGCCTTTCTTACAGTAGCAAGCCAGTTCCCATAGGCAAAGTGTTAATATACAATGTAGAGAGAGTGATGTTAACACCCTCTGACTGTTCAATCAATTGAAAAAAGTTGGTAACAGCCACAGGAATTTACTACATCTCTCGTCACTTAATAAATGGTGGCACAAACTATGAAAATAGCAAGTGAAAGACTCCAAGATACATGTGAAGTAGTACATATGTTGTCAGATATGAAAAAAAAAAAATCTTTTTCACCCTCATACTTCCCATCTCTTCTACTAACTTGTGAATAGATTTTCCTTCTATTCTACATGTCAGCATAGCTTGTTAATGTTAGTTGAGATTCAGAACTATTTTTTTTCTTCATAGCATTGTATCAAGTATCATATCTTTTCAACAACAAAACATTACAATATGCATTTATGACAAGAAATCAAGTTGAGCAGAATAAATATAGCCTACACATACATGTAAATGAAGTCATCACAGATTGACTTACAATGAAACAATCACTAAACTGATAAAGCAAAGTTAATAACTTCAATGGAATTTTAATACACATTAGTGTGATGGAGAGGGGGCTGTTTATATTAGCAGCATGAAGACAATATCAATCCCCTTGGAAAATACAGCCACAATAGCCTTGAATCTCATATTTCTTTAAGGAGCAATGCCTTTTGCAGGATTTAAATCCTTGACCCACCACCCATATTTAGCTGTAGCATGCACTGCCCAATAAAATAAATTGTAACAATTAAGGCATCATTGCATTTATAAAGGAAACAAACAGGCTCATATACATAATGCACAAGTAAACAAATAAAAGGATGATTGTATAATGACATAAAAGATACATGTATCTTTGACAGAATTTAAGTTTCCAATATATTTAAACAAGTTCATTTTGACGCCAGTGCAGCTTTATTCTATGAAATTAAAAAATGCAAGTTTTTCTTTTTCTTTCTAATTTCATATTTTCCTTTGAAAGGGTTATTAAATCCATTTATATATAAAAACTAATTTCAGGACATGTAGATGTATAATGATAAATTAATTCAGAGAATAACTTTTTGTCAACATAAAACATCATGACCCCACGATAAAACCAAACCACAATGATGAGTCATTAATTTAAGGTAAATAATAGGATTCAAAACCTACAATTTCACTAAGAGAGCTAAATGACTTTAGAAAAGCAGTACAAAAGGTTGATTTCTAACAAATAGGCTTTCCAGAATGAATTTGAAAGCAATTCTATGAATATCTATTATTTTCTCAACATAATAGATCACATCACTTCAAATAGATGGGAGCAATTTTCAAGTGAAGCAATAAAAGATGTTGACTATCTTATGAGGACAACTTGAAACATGGAAGAGGGCAGTGTTATTGAATTGTTTGTTTAACCTGTTAACTACTGAATGATCTCATATCCCTAGGCTTTAATACATGAACCATCTGGTTCACATAGACTATGGGTTAATATGGTGTATGGAGGCACCTAAATAAGTTGTTTTAATTGATTATGTTGTAACATGTCTAACACTGTATCAATAATGATAAACTTTATAGTGTTTTTTACTTTTAAAATAGTTAATAGAATATCATATGCAGTCATTTATGTCTAAAATATTTTGTTTATGTAGTAAGAAAAATTTTCCTTACATATACTGTGACCAGATGTTACTAACACATTTTCTGATAAAATTTGCGTTCATTGTGTGATTAAAGATATTTGAAAACAATAACATTGTGTTGTGTTTCTTGTTTACAAAAATGTATGGGTTTCCCACTCCAAAAAATAAATTCAATTTCAATTTTTGTTGTTGTTGGAAATTCATAATACAATCTGGCTGTCTCTTTTTATGGTTTGATGCTACTACTTACAGCTCAATATCAGATGAAAAATACCAGAAAAAACATGATTCCCTTGTACCTTCATTATTAATCTAATGATATTCATCATTCTATTCATACCGATACTTGAAAAATACAGTCTTAAAACTTTTAATCGCTATGCTTAAAGCCATGCATTACGCATGAGGAGTTCTTACTTCTTTCTAGTATCCGATAATCTTCTGCTTTCCTTGCTGATATCTTCTAATGCTCCACTGATGAAGGAAGCCATGCTGTCACTGAAAGGTTGACGATATTCTTCACTTGAATTCTTCCGTACTGTCTCTGCTTTGGTCTCGCACCCTGCAAAGATTTGAATTTATTGATTCATTTGTCTTCGAAACATAAATTAAATCTTCCACTGGTATATAGGTATTACAAAGAATTCCACACCAAAGTCATACATAACAATGTGGTTTTCATTACAATGTAAACCAAATATCAGAAGGAAATGCTAACGAGGTTTGAAAAAAATTATAAAAAGAAGAAATACATCTCTCCCTGAAACCCTCCTTTCATATGCAACAAATTGGACAAATTAGTATAAACAGGCAAGTAAAGTAAAATAACGTTACTTGGATGAGACCATTAAAACAAAAAGTGAAAATAAAAGTTGAAACCCAACCGCCTTTTGACAGGTTGGGGGATTTCCAATTTCATCACATGTGTAAAGAATTGGCATAAAGGCTTATAATGCATTTCATACATTAAAAGGCATTCATCTTCAAATAATTGGGTGATATGCAGGTCAACAACAAGAGCTGCAACTTATTCTTTTTCATGTAAATGTGAAGACTGAAAGTATTATTATTGGGGAGAAACAGGTATTTCTTTTAATAATAATCTACCTCTCAGAGGTTAGATATCATGTACATGATTAACATTCAGGTATTTTGCTCAATATTGTTGGACAAAGAAAGCTTGTTTTTTTCTCAAATTTAAAATATTTCAACAAATTCTGAAGTTAGGTATGATGGAAAAGAGAGAACCATACTTGGAAACCTGTCTAAAACGAATTAAATCTATATTTACTACATGTCTATAAACTAGGTGGCAGATTAATAACTTTCCCACTTTGGTAAACTTATGAAACAAACAGTGGCCTACAACAGAGATTTCGGTCACAAATGATATGTATCTGTACTGTGTACAAAGTACTCTAAAGAATGTGGCAGTTTTAGGTTTCATTGTGTAGCAAGTACAGAGTACAGGGTTAATATCCTCTAATTCAAAAGAAGTCAACTGTTAGTTCCCCATTTCCAATAGGAGGGCAAGTCTCAGGTATGTGGCCATTAACTGCCTTGTATGATACCAAGAATAAGGAAAACTGAACAACAATTGACTTCTAAATGTCATTTTCCTTGATATTTGTTGTAGTTTGAGCGCATGTAGGATTCTAGTATTTAAAAAGTCAGACTTTTTAAATACTAGAATCATAGATGTAGTAGATTATGTATGGGACAAAAATACCTCTGGCTTGCCCATAAATGTGCTAAATACAGTATCAATACCCCTAATGACAAAGTACTGCAAGGTTCTGGAATCATCAAAATAATGAGAAATTTGGCCCAGTCTTGGTAAAGTTACAAGCACTGTACACAGAAAGATGTATATGGGACTATGCGACACGTGCACAATATCTATCAGGTCCAAATAGATATAATAATTTACCAAATATATCAATTAGTAGGCGGTTTCTCGGCAAAATTTATATCATTACGTATTAGTCAAATTTCACCTGATTGGTAGTAAGAGCTTCCATTTCATTTTTTGAGAGGGGGGCGTTTCCAAAACTGGTCTTTACCTTTAAGTTACTGCCCTGCTGGTTATAGGCAGATGAGACGACACTCTTTCAAATTTCAGCAATTGTATCTTATCTTACTCCCATTACCATAGTTACGCAAACGCTCTTACTAAATTGAAATTACAAACATTGGAAAGTCCTCGAAATGACCTATGTGGTACTTTCTTTAAAAAAAACTCTATCATGCACAGACCAGTTCAAACAATTTATACCCCAAAGAGCACACAATAGAACTTTGCAAAGAACTAACAAGATCCCTGAACCCAGGTGCAAAACTAAACGTATGCAGAATAGCCCAATCCCTGATTTGATCCGTTCGTATAACAAAAGTTTTTTATGATTGTATTTAATATACTTTGAAACAAATTAAATTGTCAAATTACAATTTCATATTCCTAAGTATATAATTAATTCATAAATTTGAGGTCTGATTTTTTACCAAGTTAGTCAATGTATTTTTTATGACATGAAGAATGCGTTGCATATCTATATTTATATTTTAATATTTCTAATATTCACCTTATAATATTCATATTTGTCTTGCAATGTATCTCTGTATTTTATCACCATGGACATAATTGTTTTCCCTCTCTGTCCATCTGTCTCCTTTCACCCCCTCTCTCTCTCTCTCTCTCTCTCTCTCTCTTTCTCTCTTTCTTTCTCTCTCTCATGCTTTCCCATCTCTCTTTCTTTTTTAACTCAAATTTTTAAATTGAAATATTGTATAAGATTAATGGTATATAGTATATACACGCTCTTCATAATTATGTAGATTGTAGTGTGACATCTTGAAATGTATACTTGCTTTTTTCATGCAATTTACTCATGTGCAATTCAGTTACTTTTTACTGTGATATCTCTTGACATGTATAATTGTCTTCACCATCAATGTTTTATTCATGCACAATTCAATTACTTGTAACTGCGATACATGGAAATGAATCAATAAATACCATTTATCTCTCTATCATCTATCCATTCTGATTATTGGTGCTTACCTTTGAGATCCTTTTGAATCTTTCTGAGGTCTTTTTCCAGATCTTCAAACTTGAAAAGACCTGCCTGAGTGACTTTACTTGGTTCAGGTAAGGGCAACGTTTTACTCTCAGTTTCCGAATCCTATCGATCAATCAAGAACACATAAAATCAGAAAATAGAATGATCCAGTATGACTATTACAACACATCAGAAAAAAAAATTGCACAAAGATGTCATTATTGTAATTGTAAAGGGTCCAAATATACTGAGTACCATATACCACTTTTCTGATTTCAAATCCTTGTAGAAGTAATATTTGAAGCTCATATTTTCAATATAGTATAGTGACATGGAATCCCTTACATCAAGAGCAAAACATGTTTTTGGCGATTGGTACACTTTAATTGTTGTTTGAAAGTACAGATTTGCATGGTGAGGAGTTAACTTAGAGAGTAGATGAACTGTCCTTTTCAGGACTTCTCAATCAACATGAAAGAATACAAACAATCCTTTGAAGGGCTATCCACATGGTTGTATTCTAATATGCTCTCTATCATACACTTTAACCAAGGTACCTGATGGACAAAATTAATTCCTCAAATGATCTGAGTGCCTAAAAAGTCAGACTGGTGAAAGCAGGAAGAATAATAACAAAGCTTGTAATGCAAAGTTGAGTAACAGACTTGGATAACTTACAGTAGTGATGTTTGCTGTAAACTTACTTTGTCAATTTTGTGAACATAGCAAGCGACAATGTACTCCAGCAGATTTGCGTCGTTGTTCTGTAGTAGAAAAGTCAAAAAGCAAAATAAATTAGAAAATGTATTGACAGAGACAGAGAGAGGAGAGAGAGAGAGGAGAGAGAGAGAGGGAGAGGAGAGAGACAGAGAGAGAGAGAGAGAGAGAGAGAGAAAGAGAGAGAGAGAGAGATAGTGGGGAGGGAGAAGCAAAACAAAGAAACAACATATTGTAGAAGCAATCAAAGGAGAAATTCTGATATAACACACAAAGTCTGATAACAAACTTTAATATGAATATTTAATATTGTAATTAATCAAATACTAATTGGCAACTCTATGATTTACCTTGCACGCAGCTCCCCCATTTATTGCCAGGAGCAGGAGAAATTTGCCACACTCAACCCAGGTGATGTAAATGGGTAATTAACTCCTTGAAATGCTAGAGAGCCGTAATGGCACCCGTGCTAAAGATCGATGGTGCATTACAGGTGCTGTAGTATTATTTCATGTATTCATTAAAATCTGAGAAAAGCAGATATTACAGGCTTCATGAAAATGATATCCATTTTTATAATTCAATCAATAAAAGAAATCAGTAATGGATGCAATATGTGAATTCATACTTTGATTAATTATGATAATGAATACACATAGATTTCACATTAACATCAAAGTCTATAGAGTCGATAATGGTTTAAAATACTTACTGCACTTTTGACATCTTTCAGCTTTGGGAGGATCTCAAGCCCAAAACCATCCGCTTGTCCTCTTGTTCTATTACCTATAAACATAAAAAAAATGTTGATAACGAAAGAAAATGATTTCTCTCTCAATAAAAGGGTTGAAACCATACAAAACATAACTCCCTCTTAATCCCAGGGTAAGAATATTGTGCAGAATCAGTTGTCACTTTGTGCTTTCATAATATTCCTGTGCAACGATCTAAGTTTATTTCTCAATGTCCAGTAAAAACTAGGTACCAATGAAACAAGGATTATCATGTCGTCAATAAGGACAGGAAATGGGTTATTATGTGAGAAATGTGAGCTTTTTATAATACACATCATAATGTTTCCTTTAATTTGTGCCGATTGTTTTATGCCACTTGGAACTCATGGCAAGCCTACAACTGTACCAAATGACACCCATGGTAGATGGAAGATAAACATTGTTACGAAGAAGCTTGGAAAAACATGTGGCAGCTTACAAAAATTGAACTACCGGTATATATAATTCTCAAGAATTATGGAAAGAAAAAAGACACAATGCTGCAAGAATCTGTCTCTCTATCCTTACATTCTTTCATCTTTTAGAATAAATTTTAATTGTTCATCTTAACGTCATCCTCCCTCTTGTAGATGTTTTACGAGGTGACATGAGTTATGCAACAGTCATCATTCTATCTCCCAGTTCTATATCATATATAAGTCTTGCAAGAATTTAATGACACTTAGTTTCATATTTTGTAGAGTTCATTGAACACATAATATCTTTTCAAAAGTGTTAAAAGTTACCCAAGTTGGTCAATACCCTCTGAAAACTTTGCAGTCTTATTGACGTGTCTGATACAAAGTGATAAAGTCTCTTATATTGAGGGTTTTAAGGCTCAGCTGAAACCCAACAAAGCATTTCAAATATTTTATAGCCGAGAAGAAAAACAAGTCCCCTCTTTACTGGTACATTAAAACAATTCTTGCAAGAATCTGACAACACTAAGTTTTCTACTTTGTAGAGTTCATTGACCACATATTTGGCTGAAAATTTTAATTGTTTGTCTTAACGTCATCCTCCCTCTTGTAGATGTTTTACGAGGTAACATGAGTTATGCAACAGTCATCATTCTATCTCCCAGTTCTATATCATATATAAGTCTTGCAAGAATTTAATGACACTTAGTTTCATATTTTGTAGAGTTCATTGAACACATAATATCTTTTCAAAAGTGTTAAAAGTTACCCAAGTTGGTCAATACCCTCTGAAAACTTTGCAGTCTTATTGACGTGTCTGATACAAAGTGATAAAGTCCCTTATATTGAGGGTTTTAAGGCTCAGCTGAAATCCAACAAAGCATTTCAAATATTCTATAGCCGAGAAGAAAAACAAGTCCCCTCTTTACTGGTACTAGAGAGAGAAATGTGGGATAAGTTACAAACCAGAGAACAATCAGATACCATGATGTTTGAATTATGACACTGTCAACAATGTTATCAGTCTAAAGCCATCAAAACGTATCTAAGCTATAAATATGTGACTTAATTCTGATCTATGTGCATGTATTCATATCATTTCTTCAGACTCCATTATTGTATTCCTGTAGTAGTAATCCAATCCAATCCAATCCAATCCAATCCAGGAATTTATAAAGCACCATATATCTAGTTGCCTAATCAAAGGCGCTGATGAGACTGAAAAACTACCAAAAATGTCTGTTCATGATTCTAACTGGGAAAGACAAAAAAGCAGTGACTAATTGTAAGCAATCTAAAATAGGTGGTGGTGGTGGTGGTGGTGGTGGTAGCAGTTGTAGTGGTAGTAAAAGCAGTACATTAATAGTAGTATTCACTAGAAGGAAACAGTATTCTTACCTCCATTCATGTAATTTCCAACTGCTAGCACCAAGGCAAGAAACTGCTTTACACTTGATCCATTTCGTAGATGCTAGATCACAAAATAAACACATGCAATATGTAATGAGAAAATGACAGCATTTCAATTATGGTTTGTCATACCATATCTATATGTGACTGTGTACATATTTGTTGATATATAATTTCTATATTTGATGCTCCTAAAATAAAATGAATAACAAGAACCAAAGGTAATACAATGTTTATGATCAGTTAAAATCCAACATATTATTACTGAACATCTAGCTATATCTAAATATTAAATAACTTAAGAATGAAAGTAGTAAATTAATGCATCATGTAAGCTCTGAATAGTGTGCAGCATGTAAGGCACAAATGGTGTACGGAATTGTATAACGATACTGAATAAATAAAAAAAATCATTATAGAAATAAAGAAATTAATAAATCAATAGATAAATAATAAACAAAACACAAGTGAATAATAAATAAATAAATATAATGCCAGTCATAAGAACCTTAAAGCTTTCACACAAAATACAGATGATCATTTACAGTATATACATTGTATATACATGTATGTACCTCACAAATGTCCCAGATAATTGTAAGTCTTGATTTGACAGCCACTAGATTCTCTTCGAAGGTCGACTGGAATGTGATACAGAACACTCGATTGGCAAAGTCTGGTATCTCAGACAGCTCCAACAAGAACCTAGGTAAGGAAATTACAATTACATAAATGTTTAAAACGCTATCGGAAATGATTGTCTGTACATGTATGAAGAAATTACCAGGTACAGCAAGAAAGAAAAATCAGTTTATCTCATGAATTGCTAAAAGTATGCAAATGACAGTGTGATGTTAATTTGGTATACCGGTATGTGTCTTATGGTTTGTTTGTGCAAACTTATAAAGATGCAAATTTGTGTTTAAATGTGCCAAGACTATTGAAATACGCTCCACTTGCTTTGCAAAATACTGTCACAGGGACAAATCAATATCTTATAACCCTGAAATCAAAGAAAATATATATGACACAATGGTATATTACACTAGCTCTGATAATATTTCACATGTCGAGCTGACTCCTAAAATATGCTCGACAGCTTGTGTGATACCCTTGCATCCCACTAAGGGCTATTCAATATTTACATAATTATCCTCTGGACACTCATCGATCCAGTAGCAACGGAGGGTATATAGGGTATACATACTGTTCAGGTTTGTCCAGTGGTTTGGCACTTTCTTTCTTTGTGTGTTCTTTGATGATCTTTATCTCATCCGCTTGAGGTCTCTGAAATCATACAGCACAAGAAAGACAAAAAAAATTAAAAAAATAATGAAATAAATAATACTAATTTTTCTCTGTAAATCAGTTCACAAATGTATTAAAATTTTATGCATTTCCATTTAAAAAAAAATGGTTCTTTAATTTGCAAAAGGCTTCTTGATTTTCCAAGTCCTTCAAAGTTTCCTCTAGGTTTCCACAATGAAATCAAACTTCTCAATGGAGAAAGCAATGACTTTGAATCCACAAGGTCACATATTTAGAACCAGATCAAAGCTTTTATGCCTTCAATGCAATGATCCTCAATACTGTTACCATCTTCAAAGCTTTGTTCTTGAAGACTCACTTGCTTTCAGAAGCTTTTAAATAGATTGGTGTGTGTATATGTAGCATTCAAAGGTGATTTTTCACCAAAGCAGAACAGAAAATATTTATATAGTAGCTGTGCTATATAAGTTTATCTTATCATTATTAATCACTCAGTTCCTTCAAGATGTATTCTATAAGGTACTCTTGGCTGGTTCCCCAAATCACATTATCACTAAAATGATGATTATGAAAACTGTGAGATAGATTTGTAGCATCTTTGAAATATGTACACAATCTCTAGGAAATGATTAATTACCACATGGTTCAACTGAAATACAAATATGCACACTGCTAGATTGATTATGACTTACATTTTATGCTCTGAAGAAAATTCCTATATTAACCATTTCAAACACTAATCAAATTTGATGTCTTACCATTTCATAGAGTGACTGAAGATTCTCCAGGTCTATGATGGACATATCCACATTGAGAACAGCATGTCTGATGTCACTCATCTCAACATGTAGACTGGACATGAAAATACCTACAGCCTGTGAGCGCTTGCTGTCCAATAACTTTGCCACCTGTCAAGAATAATATGAAATAAGATAAGGTGTTTACCCCTTCCATGCCATCAAGTTCTTAAACAATTATAAATTGTATCTCAGGAAACAGATTTTGACTTTAAAATGCTTTGATTCATTGTTGAATTGGGGCTAAAATCTCCTCCATGGAAATAAACCTTACTACTAAGGTACCTGTTCCTGTTTTGAGAAGAAAAAACATAGCTTTTTTTTGGTCCAAACACATTGTTCAACACTTATATTCGTAAGTTAGATTTGAGGCTTACGGCTTAATTTCTTCTGAATTTAAATTCACTCTGCTTTACAAAAAATTGTGTCAAAGTAAAACGAGATATGCCGAGGAATTTTTTCTATTTCACATTCATGACACTGCATTTCACCAAGTCATCACTTGCAGGTTAGCAATGCTTTTTCCAGACCAAGAGTCAGGGTTATTTGATAATACAGAGTGGAATGTTCCACTCCCTCGAAATGTCACATGTACATGTCTGCTGTGACCCTCACACAGAGGAGCTGGTAAAAATTTATTCCCAGCGTTTGAAGGCACAAAAAATATATCTATCAAGGTAGTTTGTTCATTCGTACAAAGAATATCAGGGAGTACATCATCTAAATAAGAAGATCATTATTTAGCCAACTGATTGTCTCATCAGCGAGCTCTCGAAGTCACCATGAGGGGATTTGTAGATAGGATAAGCATCGATGACATGATCAAGGTAGTGCACTATCAAGAAAGCACTTGAAATAAGCTCTATTCTGCAGGTTCATTTGGACTGTTCGGGCTGTAGAACAGCTGTCTCATAAAGACTTGTGACTGATCAGAATAGATCGCAAATAAATTTGAGATTGATATCCCAACTTTGTAGATAAGAGGCGATGGCGAATTCGAGGGAGTGATTGGATGATTTGAAATCTATAACTTGCAACTTTTTATAGGACAGGGCCCTGATGTGCAACATACATGTATGACCAACAAGCACATGCAAGTTTTCTTTAGAAAATAACAAAATTAACTTTAACATCTTTTATGGTATTTCTCCTTACATAACTCAACAGTAATGTCATCACCCTTCTCAATTTACTGGATACTGTGCCATATCCCCCCTCCCCCAATCCTTCTTATCGCAATAGCTTTTCTTTACCTGTTTGACTTTAGGCTTGCTGTAGTTATCAGACAATGGCTTCTTTTTCTTCATGAGCTTCTTGCTGAAGAGTAACTCAAGTTCTTCTGAAGTGACATCAGGTTCCTTCATATCCATCCAAACGGCTTCTTCCCTAATGATTACATCCATACAATATTGATTGATATAAATAAATTGAGTAATCAACATAATAAATGTAAGTCATTCACACAAGAATACTTTTCAAGCCTCATTGATAGATGATGCACCAGGCTACTGAATAAGGCTTCTTAAAAGTCTTGACAATTGTGATTGGAATGAAATATTTTTCCATTCATCATACACCAAATCAATCTTACAACCTTATTTAATTGTGATTAATTCTCTTCATTATAGGATTTTGGCTAAACCAAACTATCCTTTTTGTTATTCATAGACACATGTAACGGAGAAGGCTACCCACATACGATGTTCACTTCACTTAAAGGGCATCCTTTGTTGATCTATCTCATTTAAGACGTCTATTGTAAGATGATCTAACTGAGACTACTGTAAATATGAGCATCCAAGGTGAGCTTACAAATTGTTTCCTCGTTGACTGGCAAGTTTATGAAGCTGTATTCTATTCCAGTAGAGTGGTTTCATGGGCACCGATGGCTCTATGATCGGCCTGGTTGGAATCTTCTGGGTGATAAGCATGGCCCTCCCAGGTACACCTGGCATCCCTGGAGGTGCAGGTGGCGGAGGTGGCGGTGGTGGTGCAGAATGTCCTAAGGCACCAGGTAATGGTGGAGGTGCTGGAGGAGGGGGCATACCTGTATGTGAGGAGTGGGCAAGAGGTGGTGGTGGTGGAGGTGGTGGTGGAGGGCTTGGCATGCCACCTGGTAATGGAGGTGGAGGAGGAGGAGGAGGAGGAGGAGAAGACTGTGGTATCAGAGCACCATGAGGTATCTCAACCGGTGCTGATGGATGCAGCTCATTAGGAGATGAAGGGTTAGACCCTGTCTGTCCTTGATGTCTTGAAGGCTTCTGAGCTTTGTGAGGATGCTCTTGTGCCCCCTGCTCATGTGCAAATTCCTCAAACTTGTCAATATGCCTCTGCAAAGGTTCCCGATTGATCTCTATCCTATCAGTCTCGACAGCAACATCCACACATTGTTTGCTAGTATATCTGTATTGTTCTGCTTCTAGTTCCTTGACTCTCTTTCCCAGATCACTTAACTGATCCTCTAGCAAACAAACAAGGGCAGCATGTTGTCCTCTTACATCAAAGACTGACCCTTCATGTTCAGTCTGGAAAAATAAAAATATCAAGGCCTTAAATTAGCACACATCACAATCGCCATTACAAATCCAAGCCAATAATAACATAGTTTAAAATATCATTATATTTATCCATGCATAGAAAGAAGGACCAAGATACTCTTAGTAAACATATAAATTCACAAGATATGAAAAGAATAATGAAGGAAAAAAGGTCTCATACTAAGTAGGAGAAAGATCATCATTGTTTGGCAAATTTGAAGACATTCCTCTGCAATTACATCTTACTGAAAATATGTGATTCAACTAAGGTGAAATCTTGTCATATGCAATCTATTGTTGATAATAAACCGCTCCGAAATCACCAATCAGTCTTACAAGGCTAACTTCCATGTAGCTGATATAAATTGATAACCACAATAGTATGAGATTGCTTATTTGTTGTACAAAGAAAGAGGGAGGCACAAAAGAGGGGAGAATGTATAAGAAAGACAACTGGGAAACCAACATTCCTGTAGTATTCAAAATATAATGCTTGCAATGCAGTCAATTCAAATATGATATAATCCCCTTGAATTGAAAAATGTAAAAGGCTCCTGACAAAGAGATAAAATGAGGGTGTTCCAAATTTAGAAGTTTGCTTAATACAGGAGAACACACAATTTTTTTTAAATATAGGAAAGAGACTCGAATTTGACTTACGTTCAGACTCTCCAAAGCTTCCTTATGCTCTCGTTTCAGACCCATGATCAACTGCTGATGCTCTGTGAAAATGGAGAAAAATAAGGAAAGAATTCTGAATCTACAGGGACATGAAACACGAGTCAACTACCCTAACCTTCAGGTCTCTGCGACTCCACAACCACCTCCGCAATGTCTCAAAAATCTCCATCGATAAACATACTTTTTTTCCTCCTCCCCTTTCCCTCTCCTCTCCTCACTGCCTAAAGTAATAGTCCTCAGGTACAAAGGGGAAAGTGCCCCCCCCCCCAAAAAATGTCATGAACATGAATTTTCCCACTATTTCTTTCCCCACTCTCACTCCGCTTCCCCATTTCTCAGCTCATTTTATTTGCTTTTTCTCTCATTCTCTTTCTTTTTGTCTCTCTTCTTTCTATTTCACACTTTTCTTGTTTCCTCTTTACTTTTAATACCCCCCCCCCCGGCCTCTTTCTCTCCCATGTCATAGTCGGCAACCTCTCACCCACTACATTCCCACTCAACTCCTCAACCCCCCCCCCCCCCCCCCCCATGGCTACGTCTGGCTTCTGCTTGCCTCTCTGTTCCAATCCCTTATTCTTTCCAACACATAGGTCCATATTTCCAGCAATATTACTGCACAGAGGCTAGACTCACAAGATATTCACCTAAATGGACTACTGGTATCTAGAACAATTTGTCATCAGATTCAGAAGATACTGTTTACTTTGTTGAGGGATCAAATGTATTTAGTGGGTCAGTGGTTGGAATCGATAGTATGTGAGTGATCCTAACATGGAGTCCTGACAAAACACCAATTGACACTTTGTGGGAGTTCGCAGGTTTTAAGTTTTACAATCTGTTATAAGAACTGATAGGTTGAATATCAAGGAGGTACTGAGTATCTGAAACAGGAGAACATTTCCTAGGAAATTGGAGGTCACAAATCAAGGAATGTCAACTATGAATAATTGCTTACAGTTAGTTTTTATTCAGATTTAATCTTGTCCTGCTAACAAATGAAAAACTTTCACACTTGTAAAAACATCTACCGGTAATAATAAGTGGAGAAATAAATTGCTTTTGCTAGCATCCTCCTTAATTCTGAAAAACAGCTTTTACTTGCAATGAAGGTATTCATAAAATATACTAGAGACTACTCGAACTTGTTATAAAATTATGCAATTTTTCTTGCTAAGAAATTTGCAGCATTTTTGGTTCTTTTCTATTTTCTCACCTTTATTGCATCTTATGAAAGAAGTCAAGTACATATTATTATGGTTCTTTCTCTCCATGTAAGGTTAAATAAGAATCACCTATGCATCATATGATTGGGGTCAGAAGGGCTTTAACTTAAAAGTTATACAAAGTGAACACCCTTCAGACTTAGTTTGAACAGACAATATTACCAGTATGATGGTAAACAAGACTGATGTCTTGTGTTCTAATAAAGTAGGCAACACACTCTCTCTCTCACACACACTCTTTCTCACATTCTTCTTAAAACATTGATTTAACACTATATTTCAAACCTCCTCCCTAAACCCCATGCACAGGAAAATATCATTAAACATTTAATTTGCAGAAATCCTTGGTCAAATGCCACTTTTCAGAATTCAATTCTAAAACCATCTGTCTTACCATCACATTTCTCCTGTTGATTAAATTAAATATTTCATCCATATCAATTATTTTCACATTTCATTTCCGATATTCATACATTCAATAATCAACACAAATTCGGTTAGATTATATTTTTAGCTCAAGTCATCTCCCTTATGATACAAGATCCCAATTATCATTATTATTAATATTACGCATAATCTATCGTGCAGAAATGTCAGAGGCACATAATAATTTCACAGGTTTGAGATCCCTGCCTCGCAACCATCTGCTGGTGCATGCATCTACATGTATATATGGTCCCACAGTTGATCAGTAAGACAGCCTCATAATTGTATATGCAGGAAATTAGAGTAGCTAATTCAGACAGTGGTTGCCATTTGCTGGAGCTGTTGGGAAAGTGCAACCTCGCTCCAATCGATAGCAACTCAGTGAATTATCAATAAATGGCAGTCAACTGCATTACAGTCTCAGCATTCAAATGGATTTGAAAGAGGATCACTTAATTAGCACTATGTTCAGTGTACATACATAATTTAATTATTCAGATATACCGGTACATGTAGTTAAATCTACCTACATGCATCAGTAGAAATAGATATATATCTCCTAACATAAGTGGTTATCACACACACTATACGTCCTAGTTCATTTAAATTCCTTGATCAGACGTCACTATTATTAATACTCCAGCCATACCAATGGGACATGGGGACACCAGACCAAAAAAAAGACTGAGAAAAAAAATTACATTTCACCGAATGACCATGATTTGGTCAGTTTGGAATCAGTTTGGCGATATGACTAAGGAATACACAATAAAGTCCAGTTGAACAAATCAATGAGGCTAGTATCGGTATGTATCCCTGTCTCTGTAGTCTGTATGGGTGCGTTTATCATCTTTTGCCACTCAGAAACAGAGTTTCTATCCATACATATTGAATCCCACTATACGAACGTGATTTGCGGGATGTCACTTTTATCAACTCGTCACGATTCAAAATAAAGGCCTTGTCTCTGCGCAACTGCCGTTTGACCCGGGAAGCAGACAGTTGTTTGGAGGTCAACTAGGGCACAGCACATGGCGCACACTGTTTATTTGAAAAGGAAATTAGCCTGGGAAGGTCCAATATGTATGTGTATTTCAAAACAGCTTTGTGTTTATCATCTCTCAGAAACGTGATTCTGGCTCATTCTCACATTCAAAATGCACTTTTTTCGGTGGTTCAATAAACCCATATTTAAAGTAGTGCTGTAACATCACGGATATCTCCAATTCTGTTTAACCGCCAGTCAAAACCGGACGGTTTTTGGTTAAACGATTTATAAAAAAAATTAAATTTAAAAAAAAAAAAAAAAAAAAAAAAAAAAAAAAAATCATTTTTGTTTTTGTTTTTTGTTTTTTGGTCGTGTGAAAAAGCGGGAAGGACTGCGAGGTGATTTAACTGAAGGCGCCGATTTGTGCTTGTGAACTAGCCACAAATAATAGTAACAATGTCGCTTTAGAATAATGTGTAAGATCATTAATGTAAATTAAAAACAGTAGAGGACCTAGGATAGGACCTTGTGGTACACCATGTGTTAAACTTGGATGAATATATATTGAGATCTATTACAAAGATTACTTTCAAACCAAGATGACAGACAAATTGGAGTGTTGTTCTAGTTTCCAAGTGGTAAGTCATCACACTGATTACTGAGCTGGGAGACATTGCCAGGCATAGTGCCAGGTGGAGGGGCATAAATCAAAACTTAAAAAAAAAATTAAAAAATTAAAACGGGAAAACGAAACCGTCCAATTGAAAACGGAATCCGCCATGGGCGGTCGGATACCGGACGGTTAAACGTTTGACTACAGCACTAATTTAAAGACGTTTGAAAACAGGTTTGCGTTTATCACCATGCAAATTTGCCTGAAACATGTTTGAAAACGCTGATTCTAGGCCTGAAAAGGGATGATAGACGCACCCAATGTCTGTCAAATAAAATCATACAAAGACCACTGTGACATTATAATCCTCATGTCCTAGTTCATCTGACTTGATTGATTAGCCCTAGCTCACCAATAACCTATACAAATACAATGAATCAATACGCCAGTTGTGACGACAATATTCATGAGCATAATCTATTGATTTATGTTCACCCTGTCTGTATTTTTTCTGTCAATAAAACCAGTCATATTTCTAGCTTTATTTACACAGACGTGGATTCTGTCACATTGATCTTTCTTGATCAGACCTCCCCAGTACACAGTGCATACAGGAACATACAGGTGTACACATACAACAAATCAATATGCCTATTGTCACTACAATATTCATGTGCATAAAGTCATTGATTTAACCTTGACTCTGTTTTGCTCAGTCAATATAACCTGTCTGCAGCATATTTACAGAGCAAACTTCCTGGAATAAAGAAGCCATGGATGACTGCATCTTCTAATAAGTCATCTCAATGTTTATATAAAACTATATGACCACCAAGAACACTTCAGCTATTGATATCAGATTAAATTCACTAAATGAAGAATTCATAAATGATTATATCTCCAATTAACTGATGTCTTTGTTTGGAAAGAAATATATCTGAACACCTAGCCTAAGGAGAACAGACATATTCTATGAAATGAAGCTGGGAAGGCTGCATGCGCATCTCTCCCTTCATTCATAATATCCATGTTTGGAAAATAAGACTATCTGACATACTCAAGCTAGAGAGAAAAGACTGAATAGATGGAGTGAGGGTGCATCTCTATTAAAGGTAAAGACCAGTTATGGTCATGCGATTGCATTGTGAAAGAAACGTTGTGGAATCGATCAGAAAAGGTTGATCATCTAGCATCTAGCATCTGCAAGGTTCTGGAATCATCAAAATGATAAGAAACTTGGCCCATTCTTCGTAAAGTTACAAGCACTATACACAGAAAGATGTATATGGGACTACCCTATATCTCTCACAGACCATGAGAGAAACAAATTTACCAAATATACATGTATGAAATAGTAGGCGGCAGGCGCGGATCCAGGATTTTCCAATAGGGGGGGCCGGAAATTTGAAAATTGCGCAGACCGTTATTTCAACTCAACATACCAATACTGACAAGGTCATATTAGAAGCACCATACCGGTACAATTTTAGACATTTTCATCAGGGGGGGGGGGGGGGGGGGGGGGGGGGCTATAACTAGTTGCCCGAAAAAAAAGTAATTTTCTTGCTTCACAATTCGGCTAGTGAGCAAGGCGAGCGAGCAAAAATTTGAGCATAATATGTATTTTGTGAAAGTGTTATTTATCACCAAAATAAACGAGGAAAGATATCAAAAATTCATATTCGGGCAGCTCGCTGTCCCCCTCCCCCCTATAACGCGCGAAGCGCAGATGTTTCATGAAATTATTAGAGAAAGAAGACGATTCGTTGTACTATTCTAGACTCGTATTTC